ACACTATTAATTTGCTTACCGGACAACTCATGAAATACAAAAGGTTTAAACTCATTTTTAATCCTTATTTTGCTAAAAGTGCCTTTGCCCATTCAAACTTGTTCTCTATAGGTCCATCGGCAAGGATATCGATCTAACGATAGAATATCATTTGAATATGTCACCTGCAATGCTGCCTTTGTTGGTGTCCAGAATGTAATGCGAGCAGGTGCACATAAAACTTGCCTTTTACCTTGGAGTCCAACTCAAAAGAATGAGAAACATGAGTGCCCTCAAGTCTTTCCCATGAATTGGAATTTCACCCTTGACAAAAGCAAACGCATACATCTTGGCCCCAATTGTTATTATAATATGTCGGGATTTTTTTTACTTTCATTGTTTTTCTCCTCAGATATTTTTCTCTGCCTCGGATTCCTTTATCTCTTGCCATTTACCAATAGCATAACCAGGTTTTCAAAATGCTAGTGGAATTGCCTGCCTTCCAGCAAAGCTAAGCAGGGAACAACTTTATGCAGGAGTCATGAAAAACAATTGAGAAAAAGCAATTATTAGCCCATAAAAGACAGAAAATGTCAGTATGTCACTGTATGAACGTACAATTATTGAGTGAGTGGATATGTACAATTATTTACCATTATCAGACCCTTTAGACGAGGCGGTGAGAGTCTAGAGCTCAGCGCCACGTGAAATGGGTCCTTGTAATCCCCTCAAATGCGAGCAGGTGCACATGAAACTTGCCTTTTACCTTGGACTCCAACTCAAATGAATGGGAAACATGAGTGCCCTCAAGTCTTTCCCATGAATTGGAATTTTCACTATTGACAAAAGCAAACACATACATCTTGGCCCCAATTGTCATTATAATTTAGCATAGTGTCGTGATTTTTTTCCTTCCATTGTCTCTCTTTCCTCAGGTATTTTTCTCTGCCTAGGATTCCTCTCTCTCTTGCCATTTACTAAGGAGCAATGCTAAGGGCACTGGCGCATAAGCACTCTTTTCAACACTTATCCCTCTCTTGCGGACACGTTGCAATTTATTTAAATATCCAAATTGACAACCAACTTCCAAGTTCAATGCAAATTTAAGGTGAAATAGTGTAAATAAAAATGTAAAATTTATATTTTTTTATTTAAAAATTTTAAGTTAATATTTTTATTTATTTTTTTTCATCTTTAAGCGTTTATTTTAGTTT